TTTTCACCTACCTCATTTCAACACAACGACGTTCGACATTTTCTTCCATATAGGACTTCATAAGGTGCCGCTTGGATGCTGGAGTGATAACTATTATTGTAGGAAAATTCTATCAATGGCAAATGTTCTTCCCATGATCCCCCGAAGTCGATGATACAAGATCTCAACATATCTTTGAGAATTTGGATGGTTCTTTCACTTTGTCCATCTGTTTGWGGGTGATAAGTCGTACTCAATCTGATTTGTGATCCTAAAGCTCTTTGCAGACTTTCCCAAAACTTTGAAGTAAAGCGACTGTCTCTATCAGATATAATGGTCAATGGAACTCCATGTCTAGTCACAATTTCTTTGATATAGATTTAAGTCAATCTTTCCAATGAACAAGTCTCTTTCATTGGTAGGAAATGTGCAGACTTTGATAGAAGGTCCACTATTACCCATATTGCATCATAAGCTTTTGGAGTTTGGGGTAATTTCATGATAAAGTGCATCGTAATATGATCCCATTTTCAGATCGGTATTTCCAATGATTGTAGATTCCCATAGGGTCTCTGACGCTCAATTTTAACCTGCAAACAAGTTAAGCATCATTCTACATATCTTGCGATGTCTTTCTTGAGACATGGCCACCAATAAAATGCCTTCATATCCTTATACATCTTGTTGGTACCTGGGTGGACGAAATAACGGGACTTATGGCTTTCATTTAGGATGGTTTCCCGTGTATTCCCATAGTTTGGTACCCATATCCGATTTTGAAAACATAATACTCCTTCCCTATTCGGCTTCAAGATGGAAATTATCTTACCCATTTTTTCTGATTTCTTGTTTTCTTCCTTGACAGCCTCTGTTTGGCATCTCTGTATTTTCTTATGCAAATCTAAGTTTAAACTTATTTTCATCGCCATTGCCTTGATAGTTCCACTTCTTTCTTTACGGCTCAGAGCATCGGCTACAACATTAGCCTTTCCTAGGTGATACAAAATTTTACAGTCATAGTCATTAACTAATTCAATCCATCGTCGCTGCCTCATATTCAGATCCTTCTGGTTGAACAAGTGTTGTAGGCTTTTGTGATCTGTATAAATTTTACACATCGTTCCCAATAGATAATGCCTCTAAATCTTTAAAGCAAAAGCCACGGCTGCCAATTCCATGTCGTGAGTTGGATAGTGCTTTTCATGATCTTTTAATTGTCGAGATGCATATGATATGACTTTCGTTCTTTGCATCAAGACACAACCTAAACCCAACTTCGATGCATCACTATATACCACAAAGTCTTCAGTTCCATCGGGTAATGATAGTATCGGAGTGCTACAAAGATGGTCTTTTAATAATTAAAAGGCTTTCTGCTGTTCTTCTTTCCACTAAAATTTGACGTTCTTTCGAGTTAATTTCGTTAAAGGCACGACTATTTTAGAGAAATCTTGAATAACCTTGAGGTAATAGTCTGCCAATCCCAAGAAACTTCGAACTTCAGATGGTGTTTTTGGTGCCTCCCATTTTGCAGCGGCTTCAATCTTTGTTGGATCTACCTTTACTCCATTCTCAGATATAAAATGTCCCAGAAATTGGACTTCTTTTAGCCAAAATTCACACTTTGATAGTTTAGCATATAACTTTTCTCTTTTCAAAAGCTCAAGGATCAATCGAAGATGTTCTACATGATCTTCTTGTGTTTTGGAGTATATAAGAATTTCATCGATAAATACAATGACAAATTTATCGAGCTATTCTCTACATATTCGATTCATCAGATCCATGAAAGATGCAGGTGCGTTAGTCAAACCAAATGGCATAACCAAGAATTCATGGTGCCCGTACCTGGTTCGAAATGTTGTTTTTGCTATATCATCTTCTTTGACTTTCAACTGATGGTATCCTGATCGCAAATCAATCTTTGAGAAGTAACTGGCTCCTACTAGTTGATCAAATAAATCATCGATCCTGGGCAGTGGGTATTTGTTCTTTATGGTAAGTTTCTTTAACTCTCGATAATCAATACACATACGCATAGTGCCATCTTTCTTTTTCACAAACAGAACTGGAGCTCCCCATGGTGAAGTACTTGGCTTGATAAATCCTTTGTCTGACAAATCCTTTAATTGTGTAACCAGTTCTTTTAATTCTGATGGAGCTAATCTGTACAGTGCTTTTGCTACAGGTGCTACTCCAGGTATCAAATCAATCCCAAATTCAATAATTCTATCTGGAGGTAGCCCTGACAAGTCTTCTAGAAAGACTTCAGGATATTCACTGACAACCGGAATTAATTCTTGCTTACTCTTTTCTTTCTTGGCATCAATTATGTAAGCTAAAAATCCTTGGCATTTCTTTTGGATACATTTTCTGGCTTTCATCACAGATAGCAAACGATGCTGGCCTTATTTTCTGCCAACCAATCCATCCCTCTTATCACATCAAATTCTTTCATAGGCATGGGAAGCAATCGGATGGGTAGCTCACAATCCTCAATCATGATAGTGCAATTTTTAAACATATAACTCACAGATACTTGACCGTTAGCAGTATCAACTACTAACTTATCGTCAAGTGGCATAGAATTCATAAGAGCACATAAGGCAAATGATGGGGATACAAACGAGAAGTTTGCACCCRAGTCAAATAACACTTTAGCATGTAAGGAGTTCACGAAAAATGTACCTGTTACTACATCGGGTGTAGCTTCTGCTTCATGTTTGGTCATTTGAAAAGATCGACCCGCGCCCCACCCGTTGCTCCTCTGCCCATATTTGCTCTTCCTCGACCTCTTGATGTATTGCTCCCCATGGTTAATTGTGGGGCTTTCATTTGTGGACAATTTGGTCCGAGGTGATCTGGAGAATTACAATTGAAACACCTTTTTACTATTGGGCAAACATTCGACAAATGACCTGTTTCACTACATTTATAACATTTCCTTAGTTCAATCCTGCATTCTCCCTGATGAACCTGATGGCATCAGGGACAAATCCTTTTATTGAATCTTTGTATGGGCCTGCTCCTTGAACCTGTTGACAAACTCTAGCCATGTCATAGTTTGAAAAATATATGTTCTGGCTAAGGATTCTATTTCCTACCAAAATAATGCATTTGATTTCAACACAGAGACTGCAAATCTGACTTTATCTGTTTTTGCACATCGGATGGTATTAAATACAGACTCCATCTCTTTGATCCAACACATAGCTTTAATTGGATCTCTTTCTCCCGAGAAGGTTGGTGGTTTACAAGTTAGAAACATCTTCATATCTCATTCCCTGTTATTGAGAATTGGAATTAATGGAGTAACTTCAATTCTGCCTATCTCTATTCTGGCAGGATTCCTCAAAATAGAAGTCAAGGTTTCCCTTATCTTTCCCATTTCTTCAGCTAACATGTTTCTTGTTACATATTCTGGGTGAGACATCCGTTCTTGATTCATATTTTTAGAATTTGATTCTGCTTGATTCATATTAATTTCTGGCTGGCTTATTCTGCCTCTGGTCTAGGGCTGAGCAAAAACCAAAAAAACCCGAATTACCCGATTAACCCGCCCGAAAAAACCCGAAACCCAAACCGAAATTATGGCCCGATTTAACCCGATATCTGAATCCGGTATTTACTTCAGGTATGGAGGATCGGGTAGGATCCCACAATCCACGCCCCGAACCCGCCCGAAACCCGAACTCCTTAGGGGTAACATTGGGCCTTTGTATAGGGCTATCATGATTCGTGAGAGTTGAGACTGTCTTACCTCCTCTTGCCGTCTTGCGAAGGTTGCTTGCGACTATCCCCGTCCGACTCCGACCGTTTCCTCCCTGCCGTCCGACTCCGACCGTTGCCTCCCTGCCGTCAGACTCCGACCGCTGCCTCCCTGCCGACGACGATTGACTGTGTGCCCGCTGCTGCCTGCTGCCGATGATTGATTGCCTGCTGCCGACGATTGAGTTATTGACTGTATGCCTACGCTGCTGCCTGCTGCTGCCTGCTGTCGACCGATTCCGACTGAGTGAGAGTGACAGAACACACAAAAGTCTCATCTCTAGTCTCTACACAAGAAGTAAGTAACTAAGATTCTAATTTTTAAGAATTCTAAGTCTTCTTTCTTAATTTTATAGTTTTCTACTTTTCTTTATATGAATATGTTATCTGTGTATAATCTAGCAACTGCAATTAGCATGTACATAAAAAGAAAAACTTTAAATCCCACATTTTACCTTATGAGAACAAGGAACTTTCCAAATACATCAATCAATCGCAAAATACAATTTGAATTGGTAGTTTGACAAGTAAATTACATGACATTATGATCAAAAGCATGAAGCACATCTACAGATTTGTTGGCATAACGTCGTCTTTAGTTTTATGAATTGTCATATATTGTGCAGGGGCAAATTTTTGAACCATAAAAGTGACATCAAAAGTATGCATAAGTTGCATCAATTGCATGTACTGTATGTTTGTATATGTAATAGTACTTTGGAGTTTGGACCATTTTCACTTTTTTAGCACCTGCTTTTATGGCTCTTTAGTGCTCTGGCATTCGGACATGGAAACTGCAATTAGCAAGCAACTACATAAAGAGAAAAACTTTAAATCCCACTTATTTTACCTTATGAACAAGGAACTTTCCAAACAACTACCTATATGTCATGCAGTTACTGTTTTAGGCTCAAAAAAAGATCTATCCTTTCCTTTCTAATTAGTCTTTCACACCTAGTAGTTGTTATATTTTTAGATTGTTTACAATTGTAGTTGGAAAAACTTAGCACGTCTCAGTCTGAAAGTAACAGTCATCATCAAGCTCCTCCTTCACAATCTAATCCTACCGTAAGTCAATCTATTCTGGAAAGTACAAGAAAAAGAAAACATTAGAATCTAGATCTCAAGTTTGGGACCATTTTGAGAAGATTTTAAACGAGGATGGGGTAGTCATTATAGGTAAGTGCTTATATTGTTCAAAAGTATATGCAGCTGAGGCTAAAAAGCATGGTACTTCCTCTTTAAATAACCACATGAAAGCTTGTTTAAAGAATCCACATGCTAAGGAAACAAAGCAGTCAATTCTTGCATTTCAATCTACAAAATCTGAGAATAGTGATGGTGCTTTGACCTCTTGGGTTTTTAACCAAGAGGTTGTTCGAAAGAYGTWAGCGAAAATGATTATAATGGATGAACTTCCATTTAGGTTTGTTGAAGGGAGAGGTTTTAAACAGTTTGTTGAGGCTGCATGCCCTAGATTTAAGATCYCTTCTAGATGGACAATTAATAGGGATATATTCAGTATTTACTTTGAAGAGAAAACCAACCTTAAGAAATTGTTTAAGTCAAGCATGCAGCGGATTAGTTTGACCACTGATACGTGGACATCTGTCCAAAGAATCAATTATATGTGTGTCACTGCACATTTTATTGATGATGAGTGGAAATTAAATAAAAAGGTCATCTCATTTGTGCCTATACATTCACATAAAGGGGAAAGTATAGCTAAGGCCATAGAGAGTTGTTTGCTTGATTGGGGAGTAAAAAATATTTTCACCATCACAGTTGATAATGCATCAAGCAATGACATTGCCGTTGGGTTCATGAAGAAAAAGGTGGCGAATTGGGGTGGTTCTTCTACTAGGGCAGAGTACATACATATGAGATGCATTGCTCATATTCTTAATTTGGTTGTACAAGATGGATTGAAATTAGCAGATTCATCAGTTAAAAAGATTAGGGATTGCATTAAGTGGGTGAGGGGTTCTCCATCTAGGTTGAAGAAGTTTAGAGAACTTGCAGATTTGCTTGAAGTGGAAGAGAAAAGTTCCTTATGTCTTGACGTTCCAACTAGATGGAACTCCACCTATATGATGTTTCGAATCACAATAGGTTACAAACAAGTTTTTGAAACGTATGAGAGTAGTGACACCACGTTACGTTTGGATTTGAGTGATTCGGTGCCTTCCTATCTTGATTGGTTACAGGTTGACAGTTTGGTCATATTTTTGAAGACATTTTATGAGATGACAATTAGGATATATGGCTCACTTTATGTCACCTCAAATTTTTTCTTAACCGAGATTTCAGATTTGAGTTGCATTATTGTCGATATGTTACAATCTACGTCGAAAGTTGAAGAGGTATGTTTATCTTCCCTTAATATTACCTTTATTATTTACTTATATTTGGTTGTTTACTAACTTTTTGTTTTTGATTTATGAACAGGAAATGGGTGTTAAAATGAAAGAGAAGTTCAACAAATATTGGGGTGATCCAGATAAGATGAACTTCATCATATTTTTTGGCAATATATTGGACCCGAGAGACAAGGTTGAGTACATGCAAGTCCAACTCACTCAAATGTATGGTGAGGATCAAGGTAAGGCATGCTTTGAAAATGTAAAGTCTAAATTGGATATGTTGTTTCAAGAGTATGTGTCAACATATTTCGAACCTTCTACCACTATGATGCCTCCTCCACCCATTAAGTGTGAGAATGTTCCCATTGGAAGGGTACAATCTAGATTAAAGAGCCAACTTAAGAAACAAAAGATGGAAAGTGGRGCTTCACTYAAYAAAAAGAGTGAACTTGAACTTTATCTAAGTGAGTCGACCGTAGATGAGACAAACGATTTTGATATTTTAAGATGGTGGAAGGTTAATAGTGAAAGGTTTCCTATTCTTTCGAAATTGGCTAGAGATGTGCTTGTTGTTCCAATTTCAACTGTGGCATCTGAGTCTACTTTTTGTACTAGTGGCCGGGTCTTAGATAATTTTAGGAGTTCTCTATCTCCTAAAATGGTAGAAGCTCTAATATGTACACAAGACTGGCTAAGAGGCCCTAGTCAGCCAATTGCAGTTGAAGAAAACATAGCTGATATTGAAAAGTTTGAGAAAGGTATGACATTAGTTATGTATTCAGTATTTTAGTATACCTATTCAACTTGAATTTGTATACTTATATATTACATACTTCTATAAATGCAGACATGATGAATATGAGAATTGGAAGTTCAAGTTCTGTCACTGACCAAAAGGATTCTCTTCCGGTTCCAGCTGTTGATGTTGATGTAGATGACCTACAGCTAGATGATATATTGTAGAAGTGAGCACTTTGAATTTTGAAAGGTATTTTATTTCTTTGTACAACCTCCAATATAATGAAATCTTGGAATGTAAAGGGGGMAAASTACAAGCCATACTAGATAATATACCTCTTGTTTTCTTTTATGTTACTTTATCAATTTTCCTCAATATTTCAGGACTACTGATCTAAGTGAAGAACATATACAATGGTGTGAAGACAACATGACCAAAGTGAGAATTTGTGATGGGAAACTACAAAGAGATTGAAGATTCTTTCCCACTTTTCTTTCCTGTACATTATCTTTCCCATTTTGTGGACAATAAACCAATCAGAATATAGTGACTTCAAGTTCATCGATGGCTTGTTTGTTTTTAATTTTGCTTGTTTGCTATCATTGTTTGGTGTTTTGCTGTTTGTAACAGCCTGTGGCTCAATGTCAGCAACCTGGATCGTTTGGTGTTTTGCTGCTTGTTTGCTGTCAGCAACCTGGATCGTTTCCGAGGCCTCCATATACGGTTCCTTCTCCTTACCCTCCCCATCAATTGTCTAGTAGTCAACCATGTATCGGTAACGGTGCACGCCAGGTGAACAAACAAAGTCTCTCATGTTCCTTTGTTATTTATTTTGTTTGCTTGTGTATTTGTGCAGCATAGCATACTTTACCTAAAGCATCACCAATTCAGCAACACATTTACTTCTTATATCTCTCTTTATCAATGACAGTGTTCTGCGTATACAGTTCGTCATCGGAGACAACATGGACCATGCGCTCAACTTTTCCAGAATATGTTGTTGCAATTGTTGGATCTGCGCTTTTCTCTGTAAGTTGATTTTTTAGGCTTGTGATTGTGACTTTCATGTCATGCAGGGTAAAGTGAGTGGCCTTATAAAGTGAGTTTATTTCAGGCTGTGCAATTTGCTTCTTCTATGCTATTCACCCGAACCTGACCCGATTAGCCCCGTACCCGATTAGCCCCGTACCCGACCAGACCCGAACCCCGAACAGTGTACTTCGGGTTATGTCTTTCTACCTTGAAACCCGATCGGGTTAACCATTTTCGGGTCCGACCCGACTCCACCCGACCGATGCACAGTCCTACTCTGGTTTGTCCCCTACCTCTACCTCTACCCCTGCCTCTGCTTCTGCTTCTGCCCTCAGAGGTGCCAATAGGAGCAATAGGGGATTCTTCTTCATTGGGGCGGGTGATCCTTTCCGACCTTCTTGACCTACTAGCCATCTATACATAACAAAGTTAATACACACATTTTTCACATTCCCAAATATAATAAAGTGTCCAAGTTCAGTTATGTACCTGTAGATTCAAAATTACATTGGCCAGATGTAATCCGAAAATACCTTACACACTGATCTCTTAACTTATTATACTTATTCCAAAGGTGCTAACTATGTCTGAGACCCTAATATGCAATGAAATAGTTTAAGTCTAGGTATCATGCATGTGAATACCTAAATTCCTTAAATTCAGGCTCTGATACCAACTCTGTAACACCCCAATCCATACATTGCATATAACACATATTATACAAAGAATACATGTCTTCTCCCACATAGGTCCATAATACAAAAGTCTTTAAGAGTTCAGAAGCAACTTGGGAATTAGAATCTGACATGAGAACCCAATATCCTTGGTTATTTGAATGAGTGAATTCCGGGACGAAATTCTATTAAGGGAGGAATAATGTTATAACCAGGATTTAGACAACCTGGGTTGAGGTAATTTATACGTGTTTATTATGTGGATTACGTGAAATATGCATGCCTAATTTAGAAATGCATGAACTATATATGTGAAATGTGAACATGATATTGTGCATGCATATACGTGAAAAGACGACATGACATATATGATTTATACATGTATGCATGTGGTGTGAAACATACATGAGGTGATGCCTATATGTGATAAGATATTCTGGTGGAAACATTATTATAATATTTAAAAACTTATACCTTCATGGTTAAGAAATCATGAATTTTATAATGAAAAAAACCACCGCGTAAATTACTTTTATTGGTCAAAGGATTCACCGCCTATGAGTTTTATAATTAAAATAATCTTCACTGCCATGGTGGGAATATTTAAAGAAATAAAAACATAAGATTATATCTTATCATTTCATTTGAAGAAAAATCTGTTGAAAGAGAAAAAGAGTGTTGTGGCAGTGAGAAGTGTTCTTGAAGGAATCTCTTGTTCAAAGCTGTTTGAAGAGCTTGTGATTTGCTGTGTGTTTTAAAACTGTAGAAACTGTGATTGTTAAGGTGAATTTTAAAAATATTGTTGATTATACACTGTGATTTTTTGATGACTAAAACCTTTTTATATATTGTTATACAAACTGCTGGGTCTTTATGTTGGTTTTGAAGAAAAGATGGTAAAATTATTTTGATAGTTTAAAGATGTTATTGTTATATATTTGAGTATTAAAAACTGTTTTGGGAAAGATAAAGAAGGGATTGCTTCTTTAAAACAGTTTTG